CTTTCCCCCTCCCATTCTCAAAACAGGGAGCACTGGCAAAGAGCCTGGCCATTGCTAGGGGAACCTGGCAGCAAGCAGAGCTAGATTCCCCTCCCTCCTGGAACCAACTCTGAACTTCTGTTTGGTCTGAGGTAATGCTGTTACATGGTCAGATTTTTGTTCTTCAAACTAGAAATAATAATTTACTTTTAAATCGGACCTGTCAAAAGATATGGCTCCGGGGCTGGATCTGGCTGGCAGAGTCCTATTAGCTGGCCCCCGGTGCTACTTGTGAGTCTTGGAGTTGACCCACAGGCAGCATACAGGGAGGCCTCACAGCCCTACCTGCTGCACGTAGAGCTTGTTTCAGGATTGTGCCACACCATACATGCATCAGCTCCATGAAGGATCCAGTGGCACAGACAGCTGTCACATGTAGTGTCCACACTGGCTGCTCCAAAACGCAAGCAGGATCTGGCATGCAGGCCTGGTTTGTGCATCCATTCCAGCCTGTGGACCAATCCCACACCACTCATCCAAACCATGGCGCCAGATGCATTTAACACCCCATTCTTTAAACTGTTTAAAATGAAGGATGACCTATTTTGTTTAAAAGATCATTTAAAGTTTTAACAATCTTTTATAGCTAATGCTAAATTGCCCAGAAGATTTTAGCTTCCAAACTCATGTTTTGAAATATTGAAACTATTTCCCTGTTAAAAATGTGTACTTTATGACCCAGGAATGCAGTTTATATAGGAATGGGTATCTGTGTCCCTGTTGAACTCTTTTGACTTAAATGAGGCTGTACTTGAGTGCAGGGATCAGCCCACAAACTCAGATGCCAGCTCAAGACCTTAGAGATAAATCTACTACATCTGGAGAAATATCCTTCTTGATTTAGAGGGATGTTAAACAAAAAGAAAGATTACAAAAAGGAGAAATAACCTACAGATTGGAGGGCTGTTTGGTGATTTTTAGAGTTAGTGGTTAAGAAAATGTAAACTACACTATTAACTTAATAGTGTAGTTTACATCTCTCTCCCCATATGTACACACATACAGATAAGTATGTGTAGATACAGGTATACAGAGATATATCTAGATATAGATCTATGGACAGTTAGATATCTATAGCTATACCTGTACCTCTAACAGACTGTCTTGTGACAGCAGGTTCACTGGACAGTCCAAAACATACTTTAACAGTTACACCATTCTTAGTCCTGTTACAAAGACCCCTTTAACCACCATCACCTTTAAACTATCACAGATACAGATAGGACAACTTCAGCCCCCTGCCCCTTCCTTCTCAACTCCCCTGCCTGTTTGTCCAGTCCTGGGTACCTGGCACAAGCCTAGGTTAGTGCAACCCATCTGAGTTAGTTATAGTGCCTGTTGTGCTCAGTCCCCCTCAGTACCACCTCTTTTTCAGTTAATGGTGAACCACTATATCATAGTATCATAGTGCTTAGGGTTGGAAGGGACCTAAACAGATCGTCAGGTCCAACCCCCTGCCCCAGGCAGGAACAGATGCCAGAATCATATCACCCCAGCCAAATATCTGTCCAGCCTCCTCTTCAAGACCCCGAAGGTGGGAGACAGTACCACCTCACTTGAGAGCCTATTCCAGAGTCTGGCAGCCCTAAGTGTAAAGTGATGTCTCCTGATTTCCAGCCTGAATTTTCTCTCTAACAATTTGTGGCCGTTATTCCTAGTAACCCTGGGTGGTGCCCAGAGGAACAGAGTCTCCCCCAATTCTCACTGGTCCCCCCGGTGAGTTTGTAAATGGCCACCAGATCCTCTCTCAGCCTTCTCTTGTGGAAGCTGAATAGGTTCAGGCCCTTTAGCCTCTCTTCGTAGGGGCCTACCCCACTGCCCCTGGACCATTCAAGTGGCCCTCCTCTGAACCCTCTCAAGGTTAGCCACATCCCTCTTGCAGTGAGGCGCCTAGAACTGGACGCAGTACTTTAGCTGTGGCCTGACCAGTGCCACATAGAGGAGAAGGATCACTTCCCTGGACCTGCTTGTGATGCATCTGTCAATGCACGATAAGATGTGGTTAGCCTTATTGACCACTTCTTCGCATTGGTGGCTCATATTCATCCTGGAGTCCACAATGACTCTAAGATCCCTTTCTGCCACCAAATATCAAATACATTTGGCTTCCTTTTCACTTGTACAGTTGAGCTGTGCCTTTTTTTTCCTGTTTCCAGTGATTCCTGTTCTTTCACCAGCTTTACATGTCTCGCAAACATCACCAAACTTCTATATAGATAAGAGGCTTTCTCATCCCTCTCTTGGCCTGTTGCATGTGATCAGCGTGGCCCTACCCTCCCTGAGGTGGAGCTAGCCCAGACAGCCCCTCGTTTCATCTGCATATATATTTTGGAGGTTTCCAGGACTTGTGAAAGAGAACATGCAGTTCCAGTCATGAGTAAGGGGCTAGTTCTCATGTGGCTCCTTTGTGGAGGGTATCTGGAGTATATACATATACGGAGCAGTGCTGGGCTACCAGGTCACCATGGCTTGAAATGCTGGCACCCAGCCCAATTAACTGTGTGATAATAAATCATGAGCCATTTGGTTTTGGACTATTATAATACAAAGTATAAACTATGCCTAAGGAGGTGTACAAGTGCTGCTCAAAAGTGCTAATGAAGTATGTACTGAAATTTGCAGAAGTCTGCAAGAAGTTCAAATGTATCAATTCTGGATGAACTCAGTCTGTAGTAATTGTATACATGCAAATTACTGTGGGTATGTTGATTTCAAAGTCAGTACATTTTTTTTGGCTCCTTTTTTTTTCAAATTAACAAGGTATTCCTATGCAAAGTTGAGGGGCAGATAGCTGCTGTGGGCTGGGCCAGAGCCAGTCCAACTTACAGCAGCTTCCTGTCCCACTCCCCTTTCCCCCAGTTACTGTCACATGCAGCTCACGTGCTCTGGGAGGTAACAGATCCTAAGTAAGGTCTGATGGTAAGGGGGTGAGGGATTAGGTAGAAACTGTGGGGGCAGGAAGGCCACAGAGGGATGAACTAGGGTAGAGCACAAGGGGGCCACCTGACCTCCCTCCACATCACTATTTTCTCTGCTGTAGCAGTTGAAGAGGGACAAATCTAAAACAATTCTCCAATAATTAGATTCTATACCTGGAAAATTATCTTTTAAATACACATTTTCCATATATAGTATCTAATTACTAGGGGGTTGTCTTGTATTCAGGCTCGTCTTGGATTTGAGTAAATACAGTTGAGTCTAACATCACTTTTAATATTCAAAACATGCTAAATATAGTGTCACGTATCTTAACTCTAAAAGGAATATGAGCCTTTACAATTGAATTAATCTGAAACAGTTTTCTCATTTAGAATGTTATCAAATCAGTTTAATTTATAATCTTGCTGAAAACTTAGTGTTGCCTAACATTCTGATAAGTTGTTCATAAATATTATTAAATGCTATAAAAAGGATTGGTCTTTGTTTATGTCAGGCTTGTTTTAAGCTGTGTTTTATGCATCTGTCTTACTATTGTCACAAAACCCCTTGCTTTAAAAAATGACTTCTTGCTCATAGTAAAGAGAAAATTCTGCTCTTTTATATATTTTTCTCCAACTACAAGAACAAATTTTCATAGTCACTGAACTAACATATAATAATGCCCCAGGTTCTGACAAATAAGGATTAGATTACAAGTTTAGATATTTTTTGTGTTTTAACAAACTCATTTTAAAGAGGGTATATTTTATTTACTTTATAACCATATTCAGTGATTCTCAGACTGGGTGCCATGGCATCTTGGAGTGTCTTGAGATCTCTTAAAGGATGCTGTGGGATGCCATGCAATGTTATTACTGTTAGGTGTGCACATATGATTCACTAGATAAACCCAGAGATTTCAAACAGGAATCCATAGTGTCAAAGGCATCCCGACATGTTGTAGTGTTTCTGAATTCTTTGCAACAGAAAAATTGTTTTATTACATTTCTGTAGTAAAAAAAAACTAGTGAAATCTAAGAGTTGGCATTTTTCATTGATTGCCTTGAGTCCACTGAGGGGTGTCTTGAGTCTAAAAAGGTCAAGAACCATTTAACTATATTGTGAAATATTCTGTTTTTTCCCACTTTATAATAGTATTTTGATCTGTTTTTGTTCTTTCTTTTAGCACAGAGATACTCCTGAAAATAACCCGGATATTCCGTTTGACTTCACACCTGAAAACTACAAGGTATTCATAAAAGGGCATAAAACTGTACAAAAAAGAACACAAAACTGAACCTAAGTGTTGTAAATTATTATTTTTCTTTCAAACAGAGAATAGAAGCAATAGTAAACAACTATCCAGAGGGACATAAATCTGGAGCTGTTATGGCAGTACTAGATCTGGCTCAGAGACAGCATGGATGGCTGCCCATCTCTGTTATGAACAAGGTACTTAATAAGTAGCATTTTTAAAGCATCATTTTACTACTATTGATGAAAAATCTTAGCACTACTAATAGAATAAATACATTAGAATGTTCATGCTTGAATATGTTAATGAAGTTTAAATCTGACCTAAGATTGTGAGAATCAAATTGATTTTACAAATTGTCCCATAGAAGAATCTTGCTTCAGGTTCTGTATCTGCATAGAATGCTAGAACCTTCAGGCCTAACAGCAAACAAATTTGAGTTGCTCTGCTCCAATCAAAAAAGCAATATGCAGGTAGAAACAGAAGCTTGTAAGTATTTGTTCACAATTGAAGGAAAAAGGAACATCAAGTAGAAATAGGTTATACATGCATAAAAAACAGAATTCAGTCCCTGGGCTGGCAGCATCATGATATCTGTAAACTGCTTATGGCAAATGTGCATCTTGCATCACTTTGTAGCAGCTGTTTCCAACATTTGTTTTTTATCAAATTGGTTCATCACAAATATGGCAAAAAAAATTAGTGCAAAACTCAAAATGAGAGGATAGAGACAATCAAGTAAATACAAAAGTGATGTATTCATTCATTCTGTGAAAGAAATATGGTGAGATTTTAAAAAAAAATACAATAATATAGATTAAAGTGTGATATTTTTTTT